CTGCCCCCGCAGTGACACTGACTCCCAGCGTGGTCCACCTTTCTCCTTGCAAGTTGCCCCCTTAGTCACTGCCGGGCCAGGGGAGAGGGCATTTTTTTTTTCCTCCAGCTGCCCCACAGCACGGGTCTTCCACGGGTGCCTTTGCCACCAGCACAGAAACTCTAGGCCAGCCATTGCCTTCCCTGCCCTCTTCCCAATCCCAGGTTTCAGAGATGCATGCGTGCCTATGTATACAGACATGCATGTGGAATTCAACATGCCCGTGTGGTGGGCAGCCCTAAAGGAGAGCTATTTCAGGAAGTGGACAAGATGGTGGCGACGGCGGGGGGAGGGGGGAGATTAAAGAACAAAGAATTCCTGCCTCAAAATGCAGCCAAAATGCACCCAAACGTGATAAGGTTCTGCCACCAGATCAAAAACAATAAAAGTTGCTTGGAAAGGAGATTTTCCAGGCTGACTCCCTGAAAGAATTAGGGATGTTCTTCTGCCCTCTCGTGGTGAGAATCAGCATCGTCCTTCAGGCATCCTTTCTTAGCAATAGTATGGGCAGGCTGCCACTAGTAAGATGCCCAGACAGCAATGAAAAGTGTCCATCTGAGGTACGGATGGGAGGCATCAATGTCAACGAGCCTAAAAGTGTGGAGGAGACTGCTTTACTTCTCGAAGGGCTTAGGGAAGCAAGCAGAGATGATGAGAACAATAAGGGTCTCCGGGCACCAAGAGAGTAGGCTCTTTCATGGAGTGTGGGGGAGAGAGGATCATGAATGGGAGAGATCTCCCAAGTGGCTCAGGAGACTTGGGTTTTAAACAGATATGCCTCCCCTGGCAGAGTTCCTTCCCTCCTCAGTCTGAGACTCGGGTTCCTCATCAATATAGTGAAAACTCTGAAACAGAAAGCTGCCCAAGGTTCTTTCTAGCTCAGACCTTCTGGCCGTTCCTACTACCTTGGTTTGATGGGTCACTGCTGATATGCCCAGTACAAAATACATTACCCTCCATATTCTCAAGGTAGCTTGTTCCTCTCCAAGGCTCTTGCCGCCCCTGGATTTTGCTGCCTTTGGGACACCGGTGGAAGCCAGCTTTTCTGTCTGGATGAGATGGCAGCAGCTGACACTTCAGCTAGTATGTCCCTTACCAGTCCAACCTGACTCTCTAGGAGCGAGCTTCTAAGGGTCAGGCTGCTGGGAAACAGAAGCGTCTAATCCCTTCCTGAAACAGGCCTAGTGCTTGACAAGAATAAATAAAGGCAGCTGTATCTGATTTTATTTTCTCCTTGAAAATTGCTAACATCATTAGCGACAAGTAAATATATCAGTGGGATTAATCGAGTGAGCCACAGTGCGGTTTGATTGGATTGAGGACCACATTATTTCTTTGGGGGTGAATTAGTAAATTTAGCACTGTCAAGAGATGATGGATTGGGGACCCAGGGACTGAGAGTTCTTATTGATCCCGAGAACAGATCAGCCCAAGAAGCAGCTACAACAGCCTCTCACCCGGCTCCTGCAGAGAGAGAAAGGAGATGTGGCTATATGACTGACGGAAGGATCCAGAAATCCTGTGCTGTCTTTCAGATACCGGCCGTGATATTTGAGAATACAAGCATCGGGGTATCTGGGGTGTCACCCCTGTATGGGTGTGAATCAGCTGGTCCCTAGAGGACCTAGGGAATGGTACTCTTGGGAAGTGTGGCCTTGCTGGAGTAGGTGTGGTTTCGTCGAAGGAGGTGTGTCACGAGGGGCTGGGCTTTGAGGTCTCAGAAGCTCAAGCCAGGCCTCATGGCTCACTCTCTCTTCTTGCTGATCCAGATGTAGAACTCTCAGCTGTCTCTCCAGCACCGTGTCTCCTGCATGCCGCCATGCTTCCCACCATGATGGCAATGGACCAAAGCTCCGAACTGCAAGCCAGCCCCAGTTAAATGTTTTCCTTTGTAAGCACTGCCATGGTCGTGATGTCTCTTCACAGCAATAGAGGCCCTAATAGAGACAGTCCCCCAAATTTCTGCCTCCACCTGAATTCATATTCTTGTATAGGAACCCTGCTTCTGTGGGCCCCTGTGACTGGCTGTTTCCTAGCAAAGAGAGCTGGAGACATACCACGAAGTCATCCAGCAGACTAGCTTACAAAATATGGTGGCTCCTTCTCTTGGGGACTCTCTCTCATCTTCTCTATAGGAGGACTGGTGACAAAGTCCTGAAGAGAGGACCGAGAGTCAGTGTGGCCAACCCTGGATGGGCTCAGAGTTGGATCCTCTCTCTTTTGGTCGTTAAGGGGACTGCAGCCTAGGTTGGGACTTGGTCACATCCCCCCGAAGCTGCTCCCAAGTCCCAGACCCAGCATGAGTCTGGGACTCATGCAGCATCATTGTTACAGATGTGCTTTGGTAACGACAGGGACAGGACAGGGCCATCACTCTTCACCACGGGCTTTAAGGACCAGTGGATACATGCCTGAAACTCTACACACTGGGATCAGGATAAAGACTGTGGGCTTGGGTACAGAGAGACCAAGGTGAGTGGATCCTTCTCAACCCCAATCTGTTCTGGACAGGTTATCTACAAAATTAATTTTTAGTATACCTAGTCACTTGAATTTGAGGCTATCACCAACAACACAGTCACGATGGCCAATCCCTACTGCTAACCTAATGGGATGGACCTGGGAGACAGGCCTCTGGGAACGCCTGCGAGATATTCTCTAGACTGGGTTAACAGAGGTGCATTATCTAGACTGGGTTAATTGAGGTGGTAAGATCCATCCCTGCGGCAACAGCAACAATCCTATGCTTGGGTTTCTGGCAGGAATTGAAAAGGATGAATTTGTGATGCGTTTCTGCCCTCTAGTGGTAAGAAACAGTAACACATTTCAAGAACTTTCAAGACGGAATGGCTACTGGCAACGGGATACCTATTCACGGTTATTTGGCTGTAAAGAACAATGAAACACAGGTAGATGGCCCACATCAGACAGAGCTGGAAATAATCCTTGTGAGTGATGTAACCCAAGTCCAATAAGACAACTGTTACGTCTTTCTCTCCTGTGTGGGTTCCAGATTGGAAAGCTTGGATATGTGTGTTTAAACTAGAGGACCCATAGAAGTCTGAAAACCTGGAAAGGGGCTTTGGGGAGATCTCAAGGGGTGAAACATTATTTGATAGGCACGACAAGGCTGCTATCCACATGAACTCAGTGGCTGTGATTGCATACACAACACACACACACACACACACACACACGATCAAGGGAAACAAAATCTCAGCATGGACTACACAACACACACACACACACACACACACACACACACACACGATCAAGGGAAACAAAATCTCAGCATGGACTACACAACACACACACACACACACACACACACACACACACACGATCAAGGGAAACAAAATCTCAGCACGGACTACACAACACACACACACACACACACACACACACGATCAAGGGAAACAAAATCTCAGCATGGACTAGGGTTTGCCCATGAAGTCCTGCTCTTAGCTGAGAAGCCACAGGCAGCCAAGGGTGGCCCTGGAGATGGGGGACGTTTTCATCAGGTATGTCGACCCTGCGAGGTTACCCATCCTCCAGTAGGTGGTCCCACACTCATGCACTTACTGGCAGCATTAAGTGGACTCAGTGGGCTCAAGGGGAGACAGAGCATGCACAGGGAGTGAGGAGGGGAAGTGGTGGATGTGGGAGGAGCTAGAAGAAAGAGAACGAATAAACAAGAGAACGAGAATGGGGGCGTGTGGATTTGATTCAGGCAGACATTGTATGCATGCATGAAATTCCCGATACAAAACCCTACTTCCAAGACAGCAGAAGACCACAAAAAGCTGAACACTATAGTTCACTGCTCTCCACTTCCTGACGATGGCTGCACCCTGGCCAGCAGCCTCAGGCTTCTGCCGCCTTGTCTTCCCCATCACGGTGGATGCTCAGAGTTATAAACCAAAATAAAGTTTTCCCCTCCCAAGATGCTGTCAAGCGATCCACTTTGCTTTGCTGTTGCTGAGATCAAGCGCTTTATTCTATTTTATTTTTTTATTTTTTCACTAGTCAGGCTAGGAACTCAAGGCAGAAACCTGGAAGCAGGAGCTGAAGCCGATACCGTGGAATGCTACTTATTGGCTCACGCCTAGGCCCACACCCAGTTATCTTTCTTATAAAGCCCTGATCCACCTACCTAGGGATGATACCACCCTCCCCACAGTGGGCTGAGCCCTCCTATATCAGATGGCCATCAAGAAAACGCCCCACAGTCACGTCTCCATCTAATGGAGGCAATTTCTCAATGGAGGTGCCCTCTTCCCAGGTGTGTCAAGTTCACACCCGAGACTAACCATCCCATGCTTGATCTCAGCAATCACACATGTAACTAAAAAAGATATCATTTACCCCGACAGCCATTGAATTTAATCTCAGAATCACCGGAGGGAAGCCCAGTGCACCTGACAAACATATGTCCTCTTCCTATTAAGAACGTACCAAGTTTTTCCCAAGATGGTTTTATTTTGCATACATCTGTGTAGTGCATGCATGTATGTGCGCAAGTGTGTGCATGCGTGCGCGCGAGCGCGTGTGTGTGCGTGCGTGTATTTGGGAGATGGGGCCTTGTGGCAAAAGTTAGGTTGTTGTAGCAAGACTTTGAAGAGGATATGGGGACTCTGGCTTCCTCCTTTCTTTTCCCTTCATAGCCACCATGTGTTAAACAGCTCTGTTCTACTTTATGTTCCTCATCAAGTGGTATGTTACCCAGAGACCCCCAAACAACATGCCAACCAGACAGACTCTGAAACCAGGAGCCAGCGCAGGCCCTTCTTTGTTTTCCCTTGATTGTCTCAGGCGTATATGTCACAGTAACAGAAAGCTGAGCAGCACAAGAATATTGCTTAGTGTATGTGGAGTGTTAGAACCCCGTAGGCTAACAATGCCTTCGTGAGAGCGGGGATGGTTGCAGGGGCGCTTAGCAATTCCGATCTTGTATTTCTTACTTGTGTCAATGAAGACGGCATCCACATAGATTTTGGTACAGAAAGAGCCCAGAATAAATCCACAGGCTGGTCCAAATACCAACATCGTGAACAGGATTCCTGCAAGAAGAAATGAAAGGTTAGGTTAAAACACAGAAGCCTTTCGAGGAGTGAGATCATCAAAGACCCAAGAGATTATCTTACATTGGCCAGGTAAGATAACCAGTTATTACAAATGACAATACAAGGACTTAGTCCAAACACCACAGAGGGGATAATTAGTGAATTTCCATCTTTGAGGACTCCATGAAAATACTGCGTATCATGCTAGAAGCCCACAGGATTCTGTTTTAGATTTATTATTGTTTTACATCATGTATAAGCATGGATCTATGCATATTGTGCTGTGGCCTCAGAGGCTAGCAGAGGGCATTATATCCTCTGGAGCTAAAGTCAGAGGTGGTTGTGAGCCACCTGATATGCATGCTGGGAACAAACCCGAATCTTTTCTCTGCAAGAGAAGCAAGCACTGTTAACCACGGAGCCATCCCTCCAGCCCCTCTCCAGGAATTTGACTGGTTGCTCTAGCAAGGTAGTCAGATACCCCCATTTCTCTTACCTTTAGGGGACTTGGTGCCACACCAATGAGAAATACTAAAAGAATCCAAATCTGTCATTAAGTAGTTTTTCTACCATGAAGAAATCTACAGGGGAGGTGAGCTGAAGAGATGGCTCGGTTGGCAAAGCGCCCCCAGCATAAATATACGAACCTAATGTGGATCTGTAGAACTAACATATAAGCCAACTGTGGCAGCCAGTCTGTAATCCCAATACTAGGAAGGTGGGGACATAAAGATCCATGGAGCTCATTAGTCACCCAGCCTAGCCTAATGGGTAAGATCTAGGTTCAGGGTGACACTGTGGTTCAAAAAAAAAAAAAAAAAGCTGTAGAGACACCAGGGAAGATACCTGTTACCTGATGCCAGCCTGATGCCAGCCTCTAGTTTCCAATTGCACATACAAACATGTGCACAGGCACCTGCACATATGCACACACACCCCCTCCCTATGTGCACATACACTCCACACACACACACACACACACACACACACACACACACCACACACCACAAAAAGATTTTTGCAACTGTTTTTACATTCACTTTAGCTATAGACACTTCTTCCTTCCCTCCCCCTTCCTCTCTCCCTCCCTCCCCTTCTTCCTCTCTTCTTTTGTTAATCTAGGCACTCACCCAAATTCAAGAACTCTTGGGATGTGAGAAAAACCCAATCCACAAATTGTTTTCAAATGCAACCAAATATTATCTCTAAATATATTAACTATGAAAATCCACACAAGGGTGCGGATTGAGAAGAAGTGTCTAGACCCTGGATAATCCAGTTTTGACCCCCCCCCCCCCCCACGGTGGAATCACTGGCAACGGTAGTTCGGGACTCAAGCCTGTCTGGGAACCTGAGAAGATGGCAGGCCTTGGCTGTGTATGGAGTTACCTGGAGACTATAGCACGTAAGTTTTACACAGGGCTTTTGCATGACTCTTGGAAAAACACCGAGCCTGAACTGAAACACACAGGCTGTAACAGCTTAACTGACTTCCAGTCTTCCGAGGGATTTTCTGAGCACTGATAATCCCCGAGCCGTGAGGATGAAGAGGGAAGTTGCAATCCCTCTCGACAAAGACAGTCATCTGATAGGGACAGCCAGAAACTTATGCCCAAGTGGTTGATCTAGAACGGCGGGTACCAGTGGGTCTACCTGGGAATCGGTGTCATGATGGGAACCTAAGCTCACGGGAGGACACATATGTCTACTGATTGGCTCCGTCAGAGCTGGGCTCAGAGTACATGGCTCACTGTGTGTGTGTGTGTGTGTGTGTGTGTGTGTGTGTGTGTTATAGGTATATTTTATCACTCCGCCTCCTGCTCACCATGAAGCCAGCGGCTCTGCCCTGCCGTGCTCTTCCGCATGGCAATCTGCTTCACCAAAGGCCTAAAATCAATAGAACCGAGTGACCATGGACTGAGACCTCTGAAAACATGAGCCGAAATAAATCCTTTGTTGGCTCAGTTGTTTCTCCCGGTATTTTGTCACAGCAATGTGCACCGGCTAACACACAAGCTCCTTCTATGAGCCGAGCACCAAGCTCAGGCTTGGACACTCAGTACAAAACTTCAGACAGTTAGGAGTCCTGGTCTTCATAGAGCTCACTGACTTACTGGAGGGACTCAGAAGAAAACTCCAGAAGTTTACATGTTTCTAAGTGTTTGGGAAGGAAACTAGGTCTTTACAAATAGGAGCAATCACTTAATTTTGTCCTGTAGACAGTTAGATGGACACAATGAAAATAACGTTCTGTATCATAAGAATGGGGTGCTGGAAAGAAACCAATCTGTTTCACAACACTCTAAGAACAGCCACTGACTCCAAATCCCACAGCTATTCTTACTGAAGGGGAAGGTTCAAAAGACAGAACATGTTAACTTTGGAAAGGAACAGTATTCATAGGACCAGAGTGCCATCCTGCTTTGTCACATTGCAGACAGATGATGAGAGCCTAACAAAGATTGGTGTGTGTGCACACGTGTGCATGCGTGTGAGAAAGGCGCGCGCGCGCACACACACACACACACACACACACACACACACACACACCGTGTGGCATTGCTGCAGGGATGGACCCCAGGGCCCAGTGAATTACAAGCTAGTGCTCCATCACTGTGTATAGCCCTAGCTGAGTCTCTGGGGGCCAAGTTGCTCCTCCGCAGAGAGAAACCATAGCAAACCTACAGTAAGTTGGTTTTGAAAGGTTTTTTTTCTTTTGGACAGCCCAATAATAGGATGTGGAAAGGGTCCACTCACATCAGGAGGCCCGAGAACTCAGATGGAGCTGCCTTGGGTCAAGGCCCTGGGTCCTTAGGGAAAGCTGAAGACCTCACAGAGTTATTTGTGAATTTGTTGTGCCAGCTCTCTTTTCGTCAAGCTGTGGTTTAGTTTAGTTTGTTTGTTAGTTTTTTGGGTTTTTTAATTTTTTATTTTTTAACTTATCAAAACTACCTCAAAATGTTACCTGGCTGTAATATCCCTGCGTGAGACAGGTCCTGGTCCAGAGGAAATGTTTCTGTTGTTGTTCTTTTAAATTTGTGACTCAAGAGTGCCCTCTGCTGTCTGCCTGGGGTTTCTACACCCTAGGAAGGGCAAGCTGTCAAAGAGCCAGAGAAGGGGAAGCCAGGAAACCAGGAAGCCAGAGTGGTTTTCCCTCTACTGCCCCTCTAACCCAAACCACTTCACACCTCCAGCCCCCTGCAGTCTCTTCAGTGATTCAAAGAGCAAGTTCGTACATAGATGCATTCTCAAACGCTCCTTCCTGCGTCTGCAGTGTGTAACTCAATCCATCACACGCAGAGGGCCAGAAGTCGGAACTGGCCAGTCTGCTGAGGGGACCATCCTGGTGAGGACTGGAGAGCCTGGACTGAAACCCCATATCTGCTATTTCCTATCCTCACCAGAGCTCACTTGCTTCTCTGATGTTACCTGCCAAGGACAGTGGATGCTACCCTTGCTTTCTAGTGGTGATATGCCCGGAAAGAGGAAACAGGGCCTCAGCAGGGAGCAGGAGATGCTGGTGGCGAAGCTGAGACCTCCTTAAAATTACTGTACATCTGCAGTTGCCAAACTGGATGCTGAGAGACCGTGAGCCCCCCTCCATGAACTCACAGGATACTGTAGAATAACTCTTCTTTCTTTTCTCTTTCTTTCTCTCTTTCTTTCTCTCTCTCTCTCTCTCTCTTTCTTTCCTTTCTTTTTTCTTTTCTTTCTCTCTCTCCCCCTCTATTTAATTTTTTCATTTATTTTACATACCAACCAGTTCCCCCTCCCTCCTCTCCCCTCCCCTTTTCCATCTACCACCCCACTTCCCATCCACTCCTTCATCTCCATACAGAAAAGGACAGCCTCCCACGGGCTTGCAGAAAGCATGACACATCAAGTTGAGGCAGGACCGAGCTCCTCTCCTTACATCAAGGCGGGGCCAGGTAATCCAGCATGGGAAACAGGTTACCAAAAGTCAGCTAAGCACCAGCGAGAGGTCCTACTCTCAGTGTTAGAAGCCTTACTAAGAGACCAAGTTACATGACTGTCACACACAAGCAGAGGGCGTAAGTTGGTCCCATGCAGGCTCCCTGACTGTTGATCCAGTGTCCGTGAGCTCCCATGAGCTCAGCTCAGCTGTCTCTATGGGTTTCCCTATCATGACCCACTTGGCTGATACAATCCCTCCTCCCTTTCTTCAGCAAGATTCTAAGAGCTCAGCATACTGCTTGTCTGAGGATCTCTGCCTCTGCTTCCGTAAGTCGCTGGATAGAGTATGTCTGATGGCAGTTAGGGAAGTTGCCAATCTGCTTACAGTAGATGGCCAGTTAAGAAACCCTCTCCACCACTGCTAGGAGTCTTGGGGTCATCTTTGTGAGTTCCTGACACCGGATTTCTCACTAACCCCAAAGTGCATCAAGATATCTCTTCTGTTACTCTATCCTAGAATAACTTTTTGAAAGCAGTTTCATTTATTATTTTATGCATATGTGATTGTGGCTAAGTGTATGCATGTGTACCACATGCATGAAAATGCCTGAGTAGGTCAGAAGAGGGCGTCAGATAACCTGGAACTGGAGTTACAAGTGGATGTGAGTCACCATCCATCCTGGATGTTTGGAACCAAACTCGGTTCTCTTCGAGAGCAACAAAACTCCTCATGGCGGAGCCAGCTTCTCAGACCCATGGTCCCAGCATGGGCGCACACCACTTTCCCTATGATTTCCAACCCTTTCTTTTTGTTTTCAGCATAACAGATTGATAGATTAATATAGTTACATCATCTCCCCCTCCCTTTCCTCCCTCCTAGCCTTCCTGTGTACCCTTCCTTAATTTCTTTCAAATTCATGTCCTCTTTTTAAAAATTAACTGTTGTTACGTGTGTGTGCGCGCGTGCGTGCGCGTGCGTGCGTGTGTGTATGTGTGTGTGTGCAGATGCTGGTGAACACCAGAAGTTGATGTTTTTCTTGAATGTTCTCCACTTTACAGAGATGGATCTCTTCTTGAACTTA